TTTATCTTGGGATTTAAATTTAAATCAAGCAGTCTCATTGTGCGGCTTTAATTAAATTCAATTAATATGGAATCCTTTGTAGAATTATATTTAAATGACAGATAAAATTAATCAATTGAAATATTCATTACTGCGGTTATATAAATTCCTCGTATAAAATTTTCGAAGATCTTCCAGTGTATTATTACAGTATTAATACATCTGTATCAATTTTTGTTCTGTTGCAAATGAAACAATATTCGAGTATAAAATTGAAATTTTCATCTGAAATACATTAAAATACATTTGGAAAAGCTATTGAAGAATTCAGTTCGTGACTTGTATACGAATCATAGTTTCTTTCTTCTCGTCGTTTTTTTTTTTTGTCTGTGTCGACTTTTCTGTTTTTTTTTTCATTCAACAATCATTAAAATGGAGTTTGAGAGAATGCGCTGTTCGTCTTTATCTTTAAAATTTAAACGCACAAGAAACTGCCAATATTCGAATGCTAAAGTTCATCGAATTCTCTTGATTTCAATCCTTAAACAGACAAAAGATACTAGATTAATTCATGACGAGCAGTGTATTCTGAATGTGCTATTCTCCGATGCAATAAACAGCATTATTAATCCGTGGAGAATTTTTACGAAGAAGCTTTTCAGAATTCTTTCATTTTAATCTTTTCATCTGCTCGTCATGTTTCACTGGAGAACATTTAAGCTTATGTATGCGAGTATCGAGAAAGTTTGAAAGCTCGAATTTTTTTAACAGTAGAACGAATTTAAAAATTTTTAACAATAACAAATTATTATGAAGTTTCTTTGGGTAATTACTTTAAATAATACCGTAAGTTCATAGTTAAATAACACTGTTCATTTGCTCCTGAAATCCCGGATAGTGGAAAGGAGTAAACTTGAAAAACTCAGTGATATACCCGCGCTTGATTCTACATTTGATCTGGAAATAAAAAGAAAAAAAATCGTAGATATTCAATAAATATAAAGTAATACAAATAATAATATTGCACCGGCGATGTTACAACGTTCTGTTTTAATATTATCGAATCACGATTTTTGCTTTTGAAGTTCACTCGAATCGAAAAAATACGTACTTGTTAATATTTGCTTTGACTAGTGTTTCCACTGGATGTTTGACATATTGAAAATAAGTGATTCGAAATATTCGAAACTGTCCTTTGAAATTTTCCTTTTCGTGTCAAAGGCTCGGGTATCGAAAATTCGAGTAGTCGTTGAACTTTACACCGCACATTTCGCGACTCTTTATTTACAACTATGTTCGTTCTCGTTTCAATCCAGCGCTACGAACATCACGCTAATTCATCGATTTCATTTCGTGAAGTTTCCAAATCGATTTTCCCGAACAAAAAGACAGAATGAACGTGAAATTTCCATGGAAATGAAAGGGACGCGGTTATAAACTAAATAAAAGGAATAGTACAAGTGTTTGCAGATTGCAAATATTTTAATATTATACATCATTTACATATCAATATAAATAAATTTAAAATATCGTGCATTTTTTTAATTGTCAGTCATACATTTTTTTGCAATTATTTCCATATTATTTTCTACAAAAAAAAAAAAAAAAAAAGAAAATCCACCAAATCTTGTGAATGAAATCACACAAGTCTCGAAAATGATTAATACATCCTGTCCTGTCAGGAAAATTATTATCAGATTAGATTATAGATATTTATACAAATCATACTTTTTATTGCAGTAAATTTCGATATATATATTTTACATATCGAGCGTGCATTTTCATGTATTCCGATGGTCTACAAAAATCCGCAGCCTGTTTAAAAATTGATCAAACGTTCTCGTCGTGAAATTAAAAGGAGCCTCATTTTTTGGCCAACATGACACTGGCGCGCAACCGATGCCTTTGAATACCAGCCAATTAATAGCAAACGAATAATCCGTTCGCCTGACAGCGAGCAAACAGCCTAACGAAATCAAACAACTTTATTAATACCCAGCTGGCAAATATTTTCGGCGCAAACACCAATTAGCAGACGCGATAGCGGGCGGAGGACGCGCGGGGGAGGGAAAAATCGCAACAGGAAAAATTCGCGGGAAAGGAGCGACGAGGAGCGCGAGAACGAGCACCTCGTGCGAAACCGACGCCGGCCGTTTAATAATTCACAACGATTACGCGCGCCGGGACAAAATTTACAACGCGCGACATCGGCGCGACTAGCTTTAGCCCGATTAAAGCCCGAAGCGACTGCTGATTTACGATTCAACCTCCTGCTGTGACGCGTGCACACGCCTCCGTGCATCCGCACGCACGTATCGCGCGCGTTCCAGAACTGGATGCTGATTACGAACCGCATCGAAAGAAATCGACACGTAAGAATTTCGCCTCGTTGTATGCAGATTCATATATATATATATGTATGTAGTATGTCAATATGCGTCATTAATCGTGGCAGAGAAGGGAACTGGTTGATTTTATGTGAAAAAGATAAATTGGAGAGGGAGAAGTTTTTCAGAGAATTGAGTTTGGAAATTTATTGTACTCGAACTTGGTTGATCTTGGACTGGATGATGACAATCGACGTTCTTTCTTTTTTTTAGCTTAGTTCGTTCGATTAGCTTTATTTGGAATTATTTAGAAAGGAATTTTCTGTTTCTCGAGATTGTCTTCAAGCAGAGTTTTAGTTTAAATTTAAGTTAACAGGGGGTTATTTTATTCATTTTCAACGAAGTGAAGTTTGTGAATTTATCAAGAATTTATGAATATTTGAATTTTAATTTATTAATTCCAGACACAAGTAAACAACCAAGGAAGTTCCTTTTCTTAATTTAGGATTCAAGTCGCATTGGTTGCAATGACATTAACGATTACGATATTTTCGAGTTTGTCGATCAACAATTTCTTGACCAAGAGTATTTTATATTTAAAAGGATTCTTCTCTATTATTCCATGTACACTTCACAAGAAGTGATGTTACAGAGAACTTCGTCTAGATTTTTTATAACTAGTTTTCCTAAAAAGTAACTAACTACATTCTGCAATCAGATACTACCTAGATAAATTTAATGGTCTTTAGAAAAGATTTTCTCTGCATGTCAAGAAAAATCGGCAAGAAAATGTTACATCGTTTACTGTTATCGACAACAAATACAAACAGCAGTTCCATTGTATAAAATGTCGATCGAGAAATTTTTGTTCTCTCGTCGTCCAAAAGAATTCGCATCGTATTTTACGATTCTCTTAAGATTCAATTCCATAGAAGCTTGCTCGTCTTGATTTGCCATTGTCAGAAATCAATGAGACTGTGCATTAAGAGAAACGTTTTGTTCTAATACAGAAGCATTCGTCTTGATTCTTGTGATATTTTTAAAGTTTCAAGAGAAATTCACAAGGGTTTACGTCACGCCATCTGAACAATTTATTTTAATTTTTGTAATATTTCTAAGGACATTCAACGACATTTTGTACCGAGAGATGTTATATAAAGATGATATTCTTTGTTAATTAGATATTAGCATATTTCTGCTTGGAAACGAGTTACAAGGAAAGTCGATGTTGCTTCATTTATTAGAAAATGTTTTGGTAATTGTTAGATTCTGATCTAGATATCTCGGATACCTTTGGAATTGTTTATTTTAGATTAAAATCAATTGACTCTTGAATGATTTTTTACTATCGATTCCTAAACTCTTGTATTTTTTTTTTAACTCGAATTTTACAGGAAGAACTCAGTTTGCTTGTAGGACGATCTGCAAAATCGTGGAGATTACTTAAAAAAAAAAAAAAAATCTGATCTTTCAACTGGAATAAAATAGCTGTATTGAACAAGAGATGAATTTTTCTCGAGAAATACGTAAAGATAATCGAAGATGATCGAGTGGAATAATTAAAGTGGGTACACCACAGTTGAACTGTAATAGCAACGTAATTAACATACCTTCATTAATTATCGTCCTGCTTATTAAGCTGAACTAGAAAGAGTGCGGGTGAGGATAACGATGTGGTTGAAAATAGAAGATATAGATTGTGCTATAAGTATGTATGGATAACATGGAAATTTCACGTAGATGGTTTAGAAAGATTTTCTTGCTCGGCTGTGCTCCGTTATATTTCTGTTTTATTTATTATCGAAATCTTTATATTTCATTATCGAAACTCCGTCATTTTGACTTAAAAATGAACGAAATATACAGGCGAAAGTCACATTTATATATCCCGAAAAATTAGAACTTCACCTTTTATGCATTTATAGAAATGTTTGAAATTGCACAGAAAGTAAATGATATGAGAGCATAGTAGTTTTTATAATAACTGGTACGTAGAACAATCTCTCATCGTGATTACATTTTCCTAGTTTTATCCCCAAAACTATGCACGTGCATAAAAATCTAGTTTAAAATAAATAATTATTTATGAAAAGAATTTGTAAACTCTCTGAGGGGATCAGGAGAATCTGTCAAGTACATATTTCTTTCAAATTCCATTGACATAATTACTATGTCTATGGAGATATTTATGCATTCTTAGAAAATTTAAAAAAGTCTACGAAATACATAAAACACACAGAGATAGAGCGCTTGTTGCAATATTTAATGGATAAAATATATATTTCTGTTCAGCTTTCAGCGTTCTAATTGTACTCGTAAAATAAAGACACCGGCAGTCTCTAATAATCTTCGAGAGCTGAGTGAAATATCAAATTGTTTTGTGTCGTAAACGTGGCGTTTCCAACGTTTCCTCCGAAACGCGTTCGAGACACTTTCACAGAAGCGTGCAATACCGGCGAAACAATAAATTTGAATGCCTCGAAAACGAAACGGAGACCGCCCGGGGGTGGCGCGAAGTAGAGAAAGCGAAGAGGGGTCGGATGTACACGGCTAGGTAAAAGTAAAATACTTGCCGCAATAATCGGGAAGCAGGGACGAAACAGAGGAAGGCAGAACAGATAGGTAGCCCGATGGAAGTTCCGGTTGATCGAGCAATTTTGCATTGCTGCCATAACAGGGAACACGGACGCATCAATGCTGAGCCCGTTGCTGCTGGGCCTGGCAACAACAGCGACCCTTTTGGCCCTGGCCGTAGCTGGAATCCTGGCGGCGCTCTACCGGAAGCACTCGAACGGCCGGCCAGGAAGTCCAAAGCACGCTCCCATCGTGTGCGAGCCACCTAATGCAGGTGCAACTACTCCGGTACACCCGCAGACGAAGCAGGCGGTCGATGACATCGATCCGGACATCATACCCAACGAGTACGGTGAGTCTACGGCTTTCCGATTGTTTGAAATGTTCGGCCGAATTACGGTAGTACCTACGTGCGCGCACAGTTCGATACTTGTACTCTCTGGCTGATCGTGAGAGATTTATTCATTGGAGGTAACGGTGATTCTTCGTGTAGAAAGAAATGAGAAATATAAATGACGCTTAGCTTTGGAGAAAAACGAATTTTCGCTAAGTCTTTCTACACGTAAAGTTAAAGGCTAACTTTAACTTAGTTCTTGATTGCACTAGGCAGTGTCAAAAGGGAATATTTGAAATATAGAGGACAGAAAGATATATTTGAAAAGTGCGACAAGACATAATCTTATAGAATAGCATAGTATCTTGTGGTAGACGGGCAAAAGGAGTACAAGTCAAAATTGGCAGAAAAGTATTTATGATATTTAAACTTGAAGCAGAATGCATGATCAGGGGTTAGATTTTGGATGTAAAAATTGATAACACAAGTCTTGTCTCAGTGTATATTTCCAAATATAGTCTGTATTTTAAGTACAATATATTCTCGAACTAATGATGATTTGATGATTATTTCCATTAAAATTTTACTCATAATCTTTTGCTTGTCCAGTCAACAAGAATAGATACATTAAAATAATTTAGTTGATAAAAAAAAATCTAGTATAAAAATTACTGATTCTGATCTAGAATATGTGTATATCAATGTCACATAGATAAATACCAGTTTAAAACTTTCGTTCGTCCACTATTGTATGAGAACTATCTTTTTCTATTGATGAATTGGAATTTCTTTCTTTTTACAAGTAAATATTGTAAAATTCCAGTATTGTTAAAAAATTCTATTTGAACATTCCTTCAGTCTAAAAAGCAAGAAAGAAAGAAACAACACGCGTACATATAATTCGTATATAAAATTCGTCGCTTTTCATAGAATACAGTTGGAAAAATAATTCTTCTTTTGTTTCAACCGATCAAACTAATGTATATCCATTTGACTAAAAAAACAAGTGCTTTCAAACCGTTTTGATTTTATAACCAATTTGATACTTTGCATATTTAAACATTTCTGCATATTGTGCGTAATCCGTATATTTGCACATTTAAATCTCCCATAAATATGTTAAATTTCATCTCGATAAAAGTCAATATTAATTTTGCCAAAACTGCTTGGATATTTTCTCAATAACTGTATGTATAAAAAATTAAAAACAGCATCGATTGGTGTGTTTAACCATTTAAAAATATCGGAGCTGAAATTTTTCACAAACAAACTTTTTTTTTAATCAAATAAATAATCATATGATTATTTTTATCAAATAAGAAGATTTTTTTTTTTTCACCGAACGAATAATTTCAAATTTTTAAAAAGTAGTGTACACGTGTATAGATCAGCGCCCATACAGCATGCTGTACAACACATGCGATATTTTAATTCTTTTCGTTTATTATTTACGACTTTATTGGTTATTTAATTACGGCGATCGGCAACTATGATTCGCGTAAGTGGAACAATTGCAGTATTTCGCGTGTACATGCATATATCTGCATGTGTCTCTAACGCATGCAATTTATCGGCGTTCTACTGTTTCTTTTTTTTTTAAAATGGATTATTTGAAAACGTAAATTATTCTCTTTTATACGTTTAAAAAAGAATTGTGGTAAATTTTTTTCAACTGCGAGATTTGTGAGAAAAGTACCTTGAGTTGAGGATGTAAATCAGGTAAAAGAAATGGTTGCAACTTTTATATCAGTGAATTTTAATATGCCAGTAGAAAGGATTGGAAAAATATGACAAATTTAGTTAGAATATATTGAATTTAAATAGAAAGGAATAGTATTGGAAATGTTTGAATTTTTAATTTTTAATCTTTGAAACGTCGAACGAGCAGTGAAATTTTAAAAATAGTTGGATCATACATATAGTGTGCTGTCACGTCAAACAGAATTATCCGACTTTTACTATTTAACATCATTGTAATTAGTATATTTTATATTGTTATAATTTAATTTCGTTACTTCAAAGATAAGAAACCATTTTCAACTATTTCGGCAACATTACACATTTTGTGCAAGGACATAAATTTAATATTCTACTAGAATTTTTATCTTTCAAATTCAAAGAATTTATTGAGATACGATACATCGTGTCGTACAAGTCACGTAACGTTTTCTCACCACAACGATCTCTGGATGAAATGAACATTTTTAGAAATAAATATTTTTTATGAGATGATTGTCCTTGACAGATTATTATTGTTTCGTAGGATCGTTATTGGTTTTGAAGTGCCGTACGCTTTTTTCTCGTTCAATCGTTTGATTGAGAGTGGAAATGCTGCGGTCTGTTCGTTTCGGATGCAGTTCATCGGTTACAAAACATTTATGAAGTTACATGTCATCTGTCAAGTAACTTAGTATTTTCCTCATTCTGTTTCCGCTTTCAATATATCGTTTGAAAGGAAAATTAGAAAATCTGGAAATAGTAGAATGGGCGGACAGTTGTATTTTCTTTTAAATATCTAGCTGAAATTCGCGTGGAATTTTTCAAAATAATTAATACTTTGTACCGTTATTCAAATGTTCAGACTGTTCGAACAAAATATTTTAAATGACATATTATTGATGAAATAGTATGTTTATCACATTTTCTTTTTTTTTTTTTTTATCATTTCATTCATTCTTTTCCTTTTAACAACGTCAATCATCAACAACGACAGAGGTACTGGTGTCTTCAGCAGTATGGGGTATCGTTAAAACAATTTTTAATATGCTCTCGAGTTGGTACATAATATTACACTTAAAATTAACTCATTTAAGCTCTATATTATGGTACATTTAATTTTGGAAAAATATTTTATTTTCAACGAGAACAGAAGGAAAAGATGGACAGAGACGAACGATAGCGTATTGCCATCTCCTTTCATTCAAATCCCCGAATGTTAATAGTTTTGACGTTTTTTTTTTTTTTTTTTTTTTTTTTTTCATCAAAGATATTTCCGCGTCGCGTAGCAATGAATTTCGAAATGCATTGTCAGGTTAAATTGATACGCTTCAATACACATTAATAGATCGGAAATGCGATGCCTTCATCCACAATGAATAGTGATCAATGTGTGCTCATCAAACTTCTACATTATTATCTCAGCATTAACGCGGGCGAACGCA